AAACACATGCATCTACGATAAAAATTGCTGCCCGCGCAAGAAAATTCCAAAAACTGGCAACTAAGCCGAAAAACATAAGCAGGCAAAAAAAGTCCGATAACTCAACTTTTCCAAAAAGATCTACTTTCATCCACACAGGAAAAAAAAACAAGGTCCAGCCTGGACTCGAACCCCAGACGCAAGTGCACAGAGACAACCGCGTTACCTCCAGGTTAAGTGAGAAGCAGTCTCGAGGTTGCTAAGCTTCACTAATAAACACAGAGGCGAAGCTGATATTCGCACCATTTGCGATACAAATAAGAATGACTATGATTATAATCAAACGAAAAAAAAACTTCAAAAATCGTATTTGTCAATAAAAATTGCAACAAAAATCCAACATATTCGGAACAAACTTGGCTGCACCATTAGAAACTCTACAAAAAGCTTTGGGAATGCTATGAAGAAGGCAAGTTTCAAAAAAGTCCTTTCTGCGTAACTAAGCATACAAAAAAGCGGACAGACAATAATCTAAATTAGCCAAAACTTTCTATTTGCAAAAAGGAACAGGTCTCAGTTGGAATCAAACTCCCGGTCTTTGTCGTCTCAAGCATGGCGGTTACAGTAATTTGGAATGGAGCTGAACCAATGAGCTACGAGAACCAAGCCGACAAAAAGACGGACGATAATCCGAAAAAGCACAAAACTATAGTTTGCAAAAAATGGCCCGGCCGGATTCGCACCGCAAGCCGTCTCAAACTGTTGTTTTACCTCTACTCCAGATGCGCCGGATGGTTGATTGGATTTTAAATTATAATAACCAAGCGTTAACAAAGCCGAAAATACCTGAGCAGAAACCCTTCATACCGAAAAAAAATACTAACCTTATAAAATGTCAAGTCCCTTTTCCCTTAGAGCAGACACACACGCACGAAAAATTTTTCCAGTCGTAACGACGCAATAAGATGCCACTAAAATGATATTAGTTGACCCGAAAATTAATAAGCCGATAAAAAGAAAAGAAAAATCAACAAATCGAGCTACTAAAATTACAACCATTGTTAAGAGCAAATTTCGATTCAGCCGGATTTTTAAAATGCTAAAAGCAACTACAGTGAAAATTGTTTACAGCTAAAATAAACGATTTATGAACGTGTCAACTAAGCCGACAAAACAAGCAGACAAATAAAAGGCCGAAATTTTTTTGAACCGGAATATTTACCGTTTGAAAAAAAACTGGTCCTGGTCAGTTTCGAACCCAGGACCTTTGCCGTCCCAAGCGTATTTGTTATCACCAGGCTAAGTGTGCAAAAGACATTACAAAATTTGAATTCATTATTGACCAAGGTACATCAGGAGTACAATGAGTCCAGTCGACTAAGTCGTTTACAGGAAAAAAGTATAGTACCCGATTTATTCCATCGCAAGGGTAAAAAACTTTAATATCAATTCAGATGTGGGAAAAATTATTGATGGAATAAGTCTAGTTCCCAATTACAAAACACTTGCTTTCGCATGTGTAAGGAATTAATGAATTTCAGAAAAAACTGCCGAGAAACACAAATACCAGGATTGAATAGGCTTTTAGCATATATCAAGCGATAATTAAGCTGACAATATGTCAGGACACATCCATTGAGCCTTATACAAAAACATAAGTCATTTTTGTCATATAAAAAATTTGAGCAATTAACTTTCAAAGCTTTGAACTTACCACAAACTACCTAAATTATCGTAATTCTTTTCCTTCAAAAGATTCAAAGAAAATTGACTGATCCGATAAAACGTTTAGGCGTTAAAAGCCTTTGAGCAAAACAAAATGATTTAGAAAAAATACAAACTAAAAAAGAAAAACAAAAACAATTGCAATTAAAATGAACAATTCTTACAAATGAAGACGAATTGATGTGGCAACTAGCCGACAAAACATGAGCAGAAAAATGAGATTCCGACCATTCATTTGCCGGATAAAACTTTTCCATACATTCTGAAGAACAAATTTCAGCGGGATTCAAACCCCACACCATAGGGTGCAATAGCAACCGCGTTACTTCTATACCAATAGGGGAAGGAGTCTAAAAGTTGCGTTGCCTAAGTTCAATCATAAAGCATAAGTTTTTCCTTACAGATTTGAAAGAAAAATAGCTTACAGGAAAAGTCTAGTTCCCCCTTACAAGACACTTGCTCTCGAATGTAAACAGAACAAAACCTCCCAAAAAGAATTTGCCGGCAGCAGTATTTGAACTACCGGATAAGTCGTACTTCTAGACCAAAAGGGGAGGGAGTCTGAAAGTTGCTCAACTTCAACCATAATGCAAAGTTATTTTCTTACAGATTTGTATGCAAAGTTGTTTATGGGAAAAGCTTAGTTCCCGCTTACAAAACACTTGTTCTCGCAAGTGAAATAACAACAAGAACTTCCGAAAAAAAAGGAATTTGTCGACAACAAGATTTAAACTAGCAGATTCTTCGTCGTTTTTATTCAGCACTGACCAAGTCTTGGCACAGAGGCAAATGAAATTCAATGCAGACAAACGAGAGACAAATGAGAGTCCGAAAATTCATTTACCGGGTAAAATTTTCCATATCTACTAAAGAACAATGTCCTGCCTGGACTCAAACCCCATGCCTGAAGGTGCAAGTGCAACTGCGTTGCTTCTAGACCAGAGTAGGAGTATGAAAGTTGCTTAAGTTCAATAATAAAGCAACATTAATTTCTGTCAAAAGCTTAAGAAAATATGTTTACGAGAAAGCCCTAGATCCCGATTACAAGACACTTGCTCTCGCAATTGTACAAAGAACAAAAACTTCCAAAAAAGTTTCCCGACAACAGGATTTGAACTACCAGATATAAGTCAAATTTATTCAGCAAAAACCAAGTCTTCACACAGAGCACAGAGGCAAATACAATAAAATACTTGCGATACAAGACTATCGATAAGAAAAAAGGTACTATTGAAAAAGCAACATGCTAAGACGCTAAAATGTAAAATTACATCTTAAGAAAACTTACCATGCGATAAAAAAGGCCGAAAAACTTGAAAGAAACCCTGTAGCCAAAATAACTAAAAAAAACTTAACTAATCAAAAATTATTCAGTCCTCTTCCCCTCAAACACATACGCATATGAATTTTTATGCCACTTTAAAACAAACGAAAAAAAAGGAAATTCAAACAAACCGAGTAGGTAAAAATACAATTAACATAAAAAGCAAATTTTGAATAGGACGAATATTTGAAACGGTAAAATGCGCAGAATAAATCAGTTGCAGTATTTCTTAACAGAGCGGAGCAGGATATGAATCCTGAGAACACAGTTACTTATGAAAAAAATCGAGTACCCAGTTGCCACACAATTGCTGAATCGTAAGCAGACTACAAAAGCCTTCCTATTGAAACTAGCCAATTATCGTATTCTTGATTATATAAATCAAATAGATTAACTATAGCCAACATACATTTGGAAAAGAATCAATGAACTTAAAAAAATTCCCGACTCTTTGAATTTCTAGATCAAATTATGATTGACAATTTTGTTGATAAAAGTAACCAAAGTTGAGAAAACTAGATCAACAGGTAATTTTTTATTCCGCTGAGAAATTCGAACACTAACATCCACTTTCGAAACTAGAAGTCAATCAAGTTTATCGAGACCTTAACTCTTTTGCTATTCGATAACACATTTTGCTTTCCTTTTAACAAAGGAAACTGATTGAACTTGAAAATAAATCAGAAGACACACGGAGAAAATTCAAATTTAGGCCTGAACAAGTTTCAAGACTTTTCGCGAAAAAAAAACAAGCGAAAATCATCAACGCGACCTATATAGAGTTTTCACTACAATCATCGACTCTTAAAATTTAACAAAAATAACTGATTAAACACAAATAGCATGCTTCACTTACTCCAAAAGACTAGATATTCATACAATTTCATTTAAGTCAATACATTTTAATTGAACGTCGATACATTCTAAATTTTGGAGGTTAAAAATGGAGACTTAGCATTTTTAATTTTATTGGGCTACATACATATAAGGCTATTTTCAACATAATTTCTCAATAAGCCAAAGTTTCGGCGAAATTCTTGGACAAATAACAGCTCCAATTTGTGGTAAAATTTCTGAAAACAACTTTCAAGAAGAAAATTATCTCACAATAACTAATTACATGATTGTAGATTTAAAACCGCACAAACTCAATTTTATTACTCAACGGAAAATTTATTTCGAACACGGCCACATTTGACAACCTGAGGCTTGAGCAACTAAGAACAGATTAGACAAGTCTCTAGCAAATTTTCAAAAAAATTTCCATCGCCTGCTTACAAAACTATTGTTTAGCAAGCGTTATCACATCCGGAACAGATAAATTATAAACAGTTGGAAAAAAGTAATGAACGCAAAGAAACAAAAAAAAACTAACTGTTTTTTTTCAACAAACTTCATTTTTTGAATTTCGAAGAAAAAACATAGATGGGCTTAAAGTTCTTTGAATTTGTAGAACAATTTATGACGGACACTTTTTTGTTAAAATTAACCCAATTTGAGATCAATACGTATACGTAACTGGATCAATACGTATAACTTTTATTTAGCTGGGAAATCTGACAATAAATTTCCATTTTCGAAATCAGAAGTCGATCACGTTTTTCGTGACCTTTACAATTTTGCTGTTCGAGTTTGCCTTCCTTTAAACAATGAAAATGCACTGAACTTAAAATGAAATCACAAGTCAAACCGCGAAAAATCAAAACTGAGCGTGAAAAATTTTTTAGACTTTCCTGAAAGACAAAAAAAATGCAATACCTATATAAGAGTACTCACTGCGTTCGTTACTCTTAAACATTTGTTCCAATTCATTTTTTCTAAGCTATAACGAGCATTTACCCTCAAAAAATTACCAGCTCTTCATCGAAGAAACAAATTAGCTTTTGAGCACATGGGCAGAGAAATGCTTGAGTATCAGTATCGCTTAATCATAAAAAATATAGTTTATGAGGGCAAAAATCATTGCGTGGAAACTTAATTTCAAAAATTATATTTAAACGTTTTTTCTAATCAAACTCGAAAATCTTTCTGCTGAAAAATATTTACTTATCTATACATTTACAATTAAGGCTTTATATTCAACACTTGGCCTCTCACTTCGTTTAGAATCAATGATTCGTCTAAGAGAGACGTTCTATAGTTTTCGACTTCGTAATCATAGTACAAAGAATATTCTTCCGCTTCGTGTTTCTGTTCACATCCCTCAAATCCTAAATCCCGCAAAGTCGACCCATAATCTAAGGGTCTTTCTGTTGAATCGACTATACTTTCTATTGATTCCGTCGCATTCGCGGTTTCTTTTTTGTAAAAAACGATGTGATAATTCGGCAGTCTGCACATTCGTCTTATTTCACCTGCTACAAACTGCAGAGTGACATCATCAGTTGTGTCGATTGACTTATGAGACGCACATTTATGGACATCTTTGAATAAGTAGAAGAAAAGATTCAGTTTCACGTATCTAAAAAATGAATACCCGTTTATTAATATTGCAGCCCCAATGAACTCTGTCAAAAAAAAACTAATTTTGTAACCGAGAAAACAAGCTCTAAATTTCAATAAAACAATTCTCGAAAATTATAAGGGAATCAGGCTCACAATATGCAAACCAAGTTGTTTAAGTATCATTTTCCCATATTTTTTAAACCGTTATTCATAGCCACTAACTATTTTTACACCAACATTTGCTGTGCTTCCAAATGTTCTGCAGCATCAATCAAACTCAGCTTGATAACAATAATGCTACTTAAGCTTGATATTCGACTTTGAAAGCTCCAAACAAAGTACTAAACCATCTTCCACTATAAAAGGAAGCATAAAGGATTTTTAGATTTAAATTCCAAAAACATTCCATAGCATGAATATGTTCGCAAAAAACTAAAAACTCTAAAGAAAAATGATGCTTTTATAATCAGGCCCATTAAGCGATGAACTTTGAATTTTTCATAGTTATTTTATATTAATTTTTTCATAGCAGAAATAGAAAAAAATTCAAAAAAAAATTGAACATCTTGAAATACTTCAGAGCGCGGAACAGCGCTAAAAATAGACTCGCTTAGCAAAAGTTTTCTTTTACGCTACTTTAGCGACGACGGAGCATGTCAAGTTATTTCAATGAAAAAATCGTTCCGGAAAAATATATTTTATTCTAGCAAGCTTTCCAGCGAGAAAACTTTGAATCATGTCAAATTATTTTATAGCGATTCAGTTCGCAACAACTTTGAGCTTTTAAAAGCAAGCTGTCCGAGCGACGAGCCTTTTCAAGCTTTAAAGATGATTCATAGAGCAAATAGATCCGCAAAAGATTAATTTTTTACGAGCAGGTCAACCAAGCTTTAAAGTTTGAAATATATTGCAATAATTTATAGAGGTAATCGGTTCGCAAAAACCAAGTTTTTGCAAGCCAGCCAATTAAGCGATGTTTTCACATGTTCAGCTTAATTTATAGCGTGAATAGATTCACAGATTATGCAATAACTTTTTTTTTAGCAAATTACTCGGAGTAAAATTCCCAGAACATTTTTACTTTCTAAGCAAGCTATCCAAGTGATGAAACTTTTGAAAAAATATATTACAGCATAGATCGATTCGCAAAAAAACAGAAAATTTTCATGCAAGCTACTCAGGTGATGAAACCTCGAGAAATTTATTCCATTGACTTAACCAGTCCGCGAAAGAATCGGATTCTTATTAGCAAGCTAATTAAGCGATGAAACTAAGAATCAAGTAAAACAGCAAATCAGCTTGCGATAGTTTGAAAATTTATAGGCAATCTATTGAAACAAAAAAACTTTAAACTTAATCAAGTTAATTCAAAGCTTGAAACTATTCGCAAAAAAAAAATAGAAGTCTTTTTCAAGCAAGCGATTGAGCAAAAAATATATATTGAAATATTTCATGTTGTTTTCATAACTTCAATCTGGTCGCAAAAAAAAATAAGTTTACTCAAGCAAACTATTGTGCAGATAAACTGTGAACAGGGTTTCAAGTTATTTTCATATTCTGAACGATTACCAAATAATTAAAAATTAGAAATGATTTCATAGCTTGAATTGATTCGCGAAAAAAATTAGATTTTTTGAGAAGGCTATTTATAGAAAAATGAAAATTGGAAATATTTCGAAGTTGATTCATTGCTGAAATCGGTCCGCAAAAGTTTCAGATTATTTAAAGCAAGTTTATGAGCAAATAAAATTAAAACATTTCAAGCTGCCTCTGGAGCTTGAATGAAATCGAGGATAAGTTAAACATTTTCGAGCAAGCTATTGAGCAATGGAACTTAGAAACATTTTAAATTGATTTCAGAGTTTGAATCGATTTGCAAAATAATTCAATCTTTTTTTGATGTCGAGCAGGCTATTGAAGTTGCAAGTTGTTTTTATAGCGTTTGTCGATCGGCGAATAGTTCTCAAATTGAAGTTCAGTTTAGCATCTCATTCGACCAGCTTGATTAAAAAAGCAAAGCTGCTAATTGAAATTTGACTGTTCTACGACAAAAAAAAAACAGTTCATTTTGGCTCGCTCGTTCTACAAATGACAAAATTATTGAAAAAATGAAAACAAACTTGGCACGCATTATCTTGCTTTAAAATTGATTTAAATAAATATTGACTGATATCTTCTATAATATTCTTGTCAAGTTTGGCTAAGAGTAATTTCATAAACCTTGTGCTCGATAGCTACTTAAACGTTAGGACTTATGCTGAAATTATGTCATTCATTTAATACTAGCAAGACCGTCTCCAATAACAAATCGATTCGCAAGAAATTAACTGTTGTTCTGATCAAGCTATGAAACTATCTCATAATTTCCCTTATATATAAGAAGATAAGATTTGAGCGGGGTGGTATTTTACTGGCAATAACGCTCACGGGGCTACAATGGGAAAATAAACCTACCCTGGATACTGCGTGTGGTGGTAGAATGTCTTGTCACTCAGAGGTTTAAACGAGGTCAACTCTGGAATGTTCTCTGGGTAATTGGACACGGCTACTATGGTATCTGACAAGTCCTCGTAGTCTATGTACCCAGACGGCAGTTCACATGTGTCTACGTCATCGCCAGTGTCCACAAGTCGACAGAGGATCTCTAGTTCTGTGGAGTCGCAAGGGATATCCAAATCCAGCAGAACTGCAAAAAAAACAACTTTTACACCACAACCGAACTAAAACTTGTAAAATAATAACCAATTATTGCCCTTCAAATGAAACAAGATAAATTGACTAATCCAATTGAATAGTCGATTTTCTCAGTTTTGGATTTTCAATAAACTTTTTTCAATTAAAATAGTTTCGGCTAATGTTCTATTATAATAAGAATTCTGTAAATCATGCGTAAAAATTTCATTATTTTGAAATTAAGCGGACAAAAAAAGCAACAGTAAAACAAAAGTCCAACTATGCAAGTTCTTAAAAACAAACGGAATTTCATACATGCAAAATCCGTGATGTGGAACCTAAGCCGACGAAGTTTGAACAGACAAACGAAACGCCGACAAGCCAATTTTTAACCAAAAAATATTTCAATTTCATTACTTAAAAAAGCTCCGGCTGTGACTCGATTACCAGACTTTAGGGTGCGACGGAGACCGCTTTACCTCCAAGCCAAGTATGAAGGAACTTGGAAGTTACTTAGGTTCAATAATACAGCAAGTTCAATTTCTTACAGATTGAAGTCTAGTTTCCGATTTCAAGACACTTACTCTCGCAAGCGTAATCAAGTTCAACGATTAAATGGCAACATCAAGGTACATTAGTTAATCACGATGACACTCTCAATATAAAACTTTGAAGGGAGAAGTGAATAGATAAAAAGGCAAACCATTCTTCTCATCTATTCGCTTCGAGCAAAACAAAATAGTTAGGAAAAACTTGGGACAATTCGACATCAGACTTCGCGGATTGGACTCGATTGCGAGTGGTTGAGCACTTTCAGGGTGTAGAGGAAGTTGTTAGGTATTTCGTCCTATAGAATCCCGCATTGCCAACAGAGAGTACAGGAACCCGTACAAGCAAATATTTCGCTTCTCAAACAATCGGATTTCGCGAAGTGTATCTACTGAAAACAAAGAGATGACAGTAACACTATTAATTTAGAAACTGATTATCTTCGAGCAATTCAAAGAAGGAAACAAGTACTGTAATTGTAAGCTAGCGGATAGAAAAAGAAGGAAGCCTTCACGACTATTAAAAATGAGGAAAAACTACATCTACCAATATCCATACATTTGCCTCGCAAATTTTTCATTACGAGGCCAAACTGTGCACTGGATAGCAAATATAGTTGTACTGGATTTCGTAACTGCGAGCGGATTCCGCTTACAGTAGCGAAATTCCGCGACAGCGTAAACTGATAATACGCATATATTATCACTTAATTGTGGAACCCACAAACTGTTCCGAATTCCGCAAATTTTTTGCGGATTCCGCAAACTCGCTTGTTTCATGAGCGTTTTTGAGCGATGCAGTGTTTTAGCTATTTGTTTGTGGAATATATGGCAGCAAAGAAGATCAAAGAAAATTAGCAATGTTGCGGATTCCACGACAAATCTGAGTTGGGCCTGTTGCGGAATCCGCTTACAGATCACAAAAAGCATAGTAAGGTTGTTCGGACGAAAACACAAAAGTTGAGAAAAACAGTAGTCAGCGTGATGCGTTGTAATAGTGTTCAGAAACATTAAAACGACCCCATTCCTCGGAATTCAATTGAGCCGAAAACACATTCGTGGCGTGAAAAAGTATGAGTTCTTTTTCAAAATTATTTGACGCCAATTGAGCCGGAAAAAAACATTCGCCATGAAATGCTTTGGGTAACTTTTAAAAAACAAAAAGTGTACGCTACCTTCTGTCAAGAAAACAACAATTTCCCTTCCAAACAACGAAAAAATAAATAGTTAAGCCGATATAAAAGCGACAGAAAACTTTTGAGCCGAATAAACCTTTTAAATTGAGGAAGGAATAAGTAACAAATCAGGGATGATGCATTTGAACAATCAAAAAGAACAAAAATTTAGTGAGAATTGCTTTAATCGTTAGAAAAAATGCGCTGTGATCACTATGCTGTGACAACTAGCCGACAAAAAGGAATCAGCCAAACATTTTGCGTATTCGTTTTTTTTTTACAGATTTCCAAACTCATTAGTGTAGAAAAACCTACATAGAGGTAATAACAGTATTCATTACACAGAGGCGAAGCTGCGCTTTGCAAACTCTTGCAAGAAGACGATCAAAAAACAGCTCGATCAATTGAAATAAGAAGAAGTAGAAATAAGCCTCGAATTAATAAAAACTCGGCTACGCGTAGGATTTGTGACCAACTGCAATTAGAATATTTTGAGTCTCACGCACTATCTATTCAGCCACGCACGCTTAACAATTGCAAACACTAGTCACGAAAAATGCAGCTACATATGCTAATAAATTGCCAATGTCATTCAGCAAAAGTGGCGCCAAATACAAATAGACTCAATTTTGCAAGTAATAATCTGGAATATTACAAGCTGCAGGCATCCGCACTAACTTTGCATGTAATAAATAGCAAAGCACAAAATCATATTATGTATAAATTATGCATTTCAAAAAACTGCGCGATATATTGAGTTGCAAAATATCTGAAATCAAGTTTTCATTATTGTTATGTTGTTTGAAACAAACCATTTTTTTTTCGGTTCATTTGATGAATTAAAAATGCATCAACTATGTTAACTTATTGCTATTCGAATGTCATAGCACATGCTATGCAAAAGCTGTAAAGGTGCCCCAAAATTGGCACCAATATTTGCCACTTAGGCTGGAAAGAAAGTTCGTACTAATACACAATGCTTCGCAAATGTAAATACAATTAATACATTATTGGTTAACATTCAATAATGTACATTCTACTTTGTTCAGAGATAATACTGCGTATGCTCAGAACACCCCAATCACAAGTTGCTTCAAGCTAAAATGAACGACATTGCAAATTGGTTCATTGAGAACAAAATCAGAATAAATGAATCGAAAATACAGATAATGCATATAGGCGGAAGCAATCAAAAATCTTCGTAATTAAATTGACAGAAATTATAGCCAAATGACAGTTGACATCAGTAATTACAGCAAGAAAACTGAGAAAAAAACTAACTTGGTTTTTGAAAAACACTCAATTTGTGATTTTCGAAGAAGAAAATAGAAGGCCTTAAGGCTTTTCAATTCGGAGAAGAAATTATGATTGTCACTTTTTGATAACTTAACCCGATTTGAGAAGACTGGATCAATAGATAACACTTTAATTTCACTGAGAAATCTGATAATCAATTTCCATTTTCGAAACTAGAAGTCGATCCCATTTTTCGTGAACTATAGATTTTTGCTGTTCACCGCGAAAAATCAAAATTAAACGTGAACAAATTTTACGTTTCCGGAAAAAACACCAGAACTTATCTGAGAGTACTTGCTACACTCTTAAAAGCGGAATTTTGAGTACCAGATTGAAAAAAAATATGCCGCGAATAGCAAAATTAAAGGCGGTGTTATTTCAAGCCAGAAAGTGGGTTCAAAATCATCACTTATCAATCTTTAACAGAGGAGAAGCGCAGCAAAACATCACTTGCAAAACAACACAAACTTAGCCAGGCAAAAATGACTCTGGAAAAAGAGTCAATGAACGCAAGTAAACAGAAAAGATGCCTTTAAATCTTTAAATTTCTATAACAATGTATTATTAGCACTTTTTTGATAAAATGAACCCAAGTTGAGAAAACTGGATCAATAAATAAAGATTTTATTTTGCAGGGAAATCTGAAAAATAAATTCCACTTTCGATAATAAAAGACCTTTACACTTTTGGTGTTCGACAGTGGGGTTTGCTTTTTTTCAAAAAAGAATATGTAGTAAACGAAAAGAATCAAAAGTCAAACCGCGAAAAATCAAATTTTATTGAGAACAAATTTTAAGACTTTTCACGTCAAAAAGCAGCCCAATAAAGTGCAATAAAAAGTAGAAACAAGCCAAAAAAAAATCGGCTACGTCTCGGACTCGATCTGCGACTTAGAGATTATGAGCCTCCCGCACTAACTACTCAGCCACGGAAGCTTAATAAATCAAACACTACCCACAAAAAAGCAGAGGTCAGATGCTATAAAATTTCCATTGCTGCAGATCGTGATTATAGCAAAAGTGTCACCAAAAAAGTGAACACTTTTTTTGCGAGTTAGTTTACAATGAATTTGCTCCAATAAACTACGCTCGCAAGCTGGCTAGTGTATTAAAGCGGACCAAGTTTGAGCTGACTCCAGTTGAGCCAAAAAGATTTTGTAAAAAAACAACAAAAACCACACTTGCATCTACAATGAAAGTTGCTTACAGGACAAAAAGATCCGTGATATGGCAACTGAGCCGAAAAAACTCGGGCAGATAAACAAAAGTTCGACAATTCCATTTTTACCGGAAAGCAATTTCAAATTCATACATAGTGAAAAAAACAAGGTCCGGTCGGGACTCGAATCTTGGGTGCAGCGGCAGCTTCGTTACCTCTAGGCCAAAAGGGAACGAACCTGGTTGTTCGGGTTCAATTAAAAAGCAAGTAAAATTTGTATGGAAAGTAGTTGCCAAGCAAAATGTCTAGTTCCCGATTGCAAGACATTTGTTCTCGCAAGTGTAACAACGTATATGCTAAATTATTGTTTTCGTATCTTAAATCTTAGATTGATGGATTTATATCTTATGGTACGAGATCTTAAACTTACTCAAAATGTAGAAAAGAACTTTCATTGAAACGCCCCATACTTTTTCAGTTCGAATCAATAAGTTCTGATTTATATAGGCACATTTTCTGAGCATCAAATAGATCTTTAATAAAAAAAACGTGCTCTAATTTTTACAGAGGCAAATTTCACTTATATTTCTGTTCTGATAAATTGTAATTTTAGCCATTTTAGGGGGCGTTCAACAGTGCAGAAACTGAAAATGTGTTCAACAAAGCCGAATATAGAGGATATTTGAAAATTTTGAGTTCTGTTTGCAGATTGTTTGATCATTGTTTTGTTTTGAAGCGAAACCGAGAAGCAAATTTGACAATTTGCTGAGTTAAATGATGGTTCAGAAAAATTAATGACACCTCGCTTGGGGTACTTTTGTATGTTTAACAAGTTGCATCAATTAAAATGGCCATCTTTGACTTTTCAACTTCCGTCGATTTGAATTAATTTACTTGCCAGTGATTTGGGATCAGTAAAAACCGTATTCAAAATAATTTTCGGCACTGTTGAAAACTAATTTCATATTCGGCGCTGTTGCACTTTGGCACTGTTCTAAAGCCCCTGTTTTTTATCGTACCTTTCTTGCAATTCATTGATGTAATAGAAACAGTAAATCCAATTATGTCTCTTTTATCTTTACTGAAATCACCAAAATGAATTCGAAGCTCAAAACAAAAAACAAAACAACTTTAAACTGAAAAACTGGGTGATAACTAAACCACAATGAACCTCACGAAGTGTAGAATATTAAACTCTATTTGCTCAGCATGCCTGCCGCATCTAATGCGCCAGAGTTATTAGACAGCAAGGAATCGAATAGCATCGAACAAAATGTCGTATTTCAAACAGGTATGACCAAAGATCAATCAGTAAAGAGTAAGGTTAAATGCAAAATCTGCTGATTTTGGGTCACCAATGGAATATTCGATATTCGGTCATTTCGCAACCAAAGAATTGTCAAAATATCGCGTAAATTTTTCGGAAAATAAGGCTTTACTTAGTTTGACAATGTCGTATTCCAGTGACCCGCTGTTGTCTGTATCCGCCTTGCGACACTGTCTGATCAACTCGTCCGCATTCTTCGCCCTCCATTTATTCATTGTGTCTACAAACGAGAGAAACTCGGCCGTGTTCGACTTGTAAGCCGATATCTTTTTTTCCATCTTCAGCTAAAACACGCAGTCGCGAATTAATAAAATGCACTCAGACAAATAAAAAATCATATTTTTCTCCCTACATCAGTTTTTCATTTTTGAACTTCAGCGCACTATTCATGATTTATTGCTATTTCAATTACGGTTCTTCTTGGTTGTTAGACGACGCTAGAAAGAAATGGAAAAGCCGCAAATACTTATCCAGTTTCGCCCAAAAACTTTTCGGTTTTGAACACTGATGCTATGGTAGAGCTAACTATGGCAAACATAAAACATGATACACAATGAACATAAAATGAAATGTTGGCATTTATCGTGATTAAAAAAGATGATTACTTCTTTAAAGTATTTGAAGGCAGCCTGGACAGATCCAGGTTTTTGAGGAGAAGGAGGCTGCATAATTTCAAAAGCGTCGAAAATTTTGTCGACCTTTATTTTTTGAAAATTATTTGCTGAGCCAAAACTGCCGTACTTTGGCACTTTTTCAAAAGTTTCGAGCCTAAATTGCGTTTTTTGAGCCCCCCCCCCCCTTATACTAATCCATTTGTGACATCTATCACACAATTGGACGAAAGGGGTAAGGGTTTCCAACTCTTGGATGACGAGAGCTGACTCCACCTCTATATCCTTTACCACCAGCGGGTTTAGGGGATTCAACCCCCTGCCGACCCAAAGAGTCCCCCTTTTGTACTATTTTGAGATATCCATTTTTGGCTGAGAGACCTTGAATTTTTCTAAATTCGCCTTTGCCGCCAATCTATACTAATTTTGAGGGGGGAGCGTGCGCCGAAAAAACGCAATTTTTTGGTAAAGTTGTTCCAAAAATAGCTTAAAAACGCCTTTTTTTGGCCGTTTTTTTTAAATTGAAAATGATATATTTTTCGCCAGTTTGAAAAATTACAAAACTTGAAAAAAATGGTAGCAGCATGTAATCCTTGACAATATGATTAGCGACGAGAAGCCTTTATGAATTTAACACATTGGGACAAAACGCTGCACACAATCTAACAAAATGAGCTCATTGGACAACATTCTAACGCAAAATTGGAGTCAACTTTCGCAGCTCCTGACATTTTACAAATCACCACGCACAGATAATCGAACTTACCTTTTTGATGCGGATCTTGAAGGCTAAAAAACGTTCTTTGCGTAAGTACATGCTCTCAGCGTGCAACAGCTTCTTCTTAAAATCCTCCGAATCTTGCTCCAATAATTCAATGTGAGCTTGATTCATACTTAAAACCGTGTCCGCCTCACTCATTAAAGGACTTTGAACTCGATTCTCCCTCTGATAACGCTCAGAGTTCGAAATCGGTTCATTGACATTTAGAGAAGTTTCGAGGAAAGGTAACACATTTTTGTTCAACGAGGATTCCAAAAACGGAATGTCATGTTTAAATTCTTCAGCAATTGAGGGTAAAGTGAAGTCTTCGTCCTCGTCTTCTATTATAATAGGTGTATGTTCGACTTTCTGAGACAAAAATTCGCCATTTTTGAGATTCGTTGTGGAGAACGATTTGCTTGCCATTTGGATGAATTTTATTTTCCAAATCAAAGCTTTAAAATATGTGTTTTCGTTATCGTTAAACTCTGAATTCTGCAATTTTAACAGAATAACAGAAAGCACGTTGGAAATTAGCCAAGCGTATCACTGATTGTTTTGGATCTCTCGCGAGAAAAAACGTTAAACATCTTTTCCATTCACAATTTGACAAAAGCTTTTTCTATTTATATGCTTACTACGAGTCAATTTTGACACGGTTCCAACCATTATTACAACTAAACAAGATCTTATATCTCTAGCATAGCTGTTTATAAATAGAGTGATTATCTAAATACGATTGACATCAATGCTACCTGTCGTTTTTCAGCCAAACTCAGTTTCGGCGTCTTTTTCTTTTTTCCCTTCCCTTTTTTGCCGCCCTTCTTTCCTTTCTTTCCCTTTTTCTTCCCAGATGATTCTTTTTCCTCGTCCGGAGCAGCATTTTCATCAAGAGTCACTGATTTATCACCTACTTTTGCTTCAATTTCTGGCATGTGTTGGACATTTATTGCTATGTTTTCGGTTGACTTGACTAACGCCTTTTCTTGCGTTAGCAGCAATGCAGCATCAGCCATGATTAATCTAGAAAATTGCCAATCATCAGACTTGAATTGAAATCGAGAACATATATTTTTGACATTGAATTAAAATATTCAGCTCCTATCGTTATTTATGCCTAAATGAGCTTCTGGGAGAAAAATAAACCTTACAAAACTTCAGAATGCTGAGGGTTATGGCACGGCTAATGGCGGTTTTTCGGGGATGATCGGGCGGATGGCTCAAACTTAGCGATTTGATTAGCGGTAATGACTTGACATTAAATTCAAACAAAGGAACTACTTCAGTAGGTCTCAGAGAAACAATATCATGCTTACAATTAAACTAGGATGCTAGTTGTCTGTTAGCAGCTTTTTGTTGTTGCGACCGGTATAATACGCCAACTAAAATCTTTCCTTTGAAATCAACAAAATTAATCATATAGATTTTTAGGATCAATTTTATAAAGCGAGTTTTATACACAGAGGCGACGCTACTCCTCTGAGTACGCGAAGCTACGCATAAGTTGCGATAAAACTATAGCATTGCAAGCTAGCCGACAGGAAAGGGGAGCCATCCAAAAAAGTAGAAAAAACGGTTCAAAATGTCTGGAATGATGTTCTATTTACTGGAAACACATCCAGAAAGTCAATCGACAGCGCTTAATGAAAAATCATAAACACTTATCGAGCGGCAACTGAGCCGACAAAACTTGGGTAAATTCCCGTACAACAGAAAAAAAACTGTTGGCATAAAACTTTGAACTAAAAATCATTTTTCAATTTTTTTTAGCATTTTGTGCGATTCGGAGGTTGTTACATGAGGTAAATACAAATTATGTTCCTCATGAAACAACCAAAATTAGGCCGCTAAATCGACTAAATAGAACCAAAATCATTCAGGCCGAATACCATTGATCAAGCGAAAAAAAAACAAAGAAAATCCAAACACTAAAATCTATAGCAAAGAAAACTGCAACAATAAAAAAAATTCAAGCTGTGACAAATAAGCCGACATATAAAAAGCCGAATTATCATATTAAGTTAAAAATCAACAACTACATCGGCATGTAAATATACAAATACAACTTGCATTAACAACAACGAATAAAACAATACTAATATTAGATATACAAAATAAATAGAAAAGAACTTATGGATCTCTCAATGGACATTTTTCGTTTATTTCTATTTAAAAATTTTCAAGTTCAAATTAAAATTTTTTTAGCTTTAACTTTTCTCAGCTTTACGTTTAAACTGTTCCATTTATTACAACTACTGTTTACTACAAATTTCTTTCCACAAATTGTTTTCAGGAATCTGTATTGATTTATTTGTTTTGTGCGTTCGTTTAGTTTTACAGGTACACTGTTTTAGATGAACTGCCTGATAAATTCATTTTTCCTAGTATTTTTCACAAAATTCCAAAATTCTAGTGAAGCTATGCAGGGTAATGAAAAGCTCGGCTGTTAGAACCATAAGCTTGAGACTTGATCTCGTGCATGATCATATTTCTGCGAAGATAGCACTTTGATTCCCCAATTAATTTGTCTGTTCATTCTGTTAATTTGAGACATGGGTAGATTTTGAAAAAAGCAATGATCTGAAAAGCCTTGTTTCTAATGGTACAATGTGTCGAACGCAGTATACTGAATTAATTGCAACAGCCATTTTGCTTAAACACTCATTCAATTCAGCTGAAAAATTAAGATGTTAGTTCACTAAAACTCCAAGATCTTTGGCATGTTCCTTTGCGGGTATGTTTCTTCCCTATAAATAATTTTTTCCAAATTTTTCTCTTCCCCAAAGACAACAAGTTCCGTTTTATCAACATTCAGGAGTAGTTTGTTTTTATTCAAAACGCATGTACTTTTTCTAGTATTTCGAGCATTGAGGTTCTTAAGTCCTAAATTGAGTTTCCTGTACATAAGATTTTTACATCATCTGCAAATTGCACTAAATTCATGTTCCTGTTGATTCGGTTCTTAAAATTATTTACATAAACAATGAAAACCAATGATCCCAAAACAGTACCTTGTGGAAAGGCATGATTAAGTGTTACTCAGTCAGAATAATGTTGAAGCTTAACACATTGTTGACGGTCTGGAAAAAATCGTTCAAGAGATTTGACGCATAAATGGAAAAACTATACATTTCAATTTTTCCCATAGATGGAATTGAAAGCTTTAGCAAGATCTAGAAAAAGTGCACTTGTTTTTCAAGATAGATCCATGCGTTTAAAAACCATTTCGGTAAAAAAGATAACTGCATCAGTCGTAGATTTTTTTCCCTGAAATCCGAATTGGTTGAGGTTTAATAACGAATTTTGTTTGAGATATTCCATAAATTGGTTCAAAAGCAAGCGTTCAAAAATTTTTGAAAGCATGTTTGTCACAAAAATAGGCCTATAATTTGATGCAACCTGTTTTTTACGTTTTTTGAAGGCAAGGGTGATATATACTTTTTTGAGGAATGATGGAAACTGATTGTGTATTATTCTTTCATTTATTGCGAATTGGAGGTGTGTTCCGGTAGCAAGTTTACCTTGTTGAAGGCAAAAAGCTTGTATTCCCATAGGCCCTGGAGATTTATTCAACGGTAATTTATCTAGTTCTTCGTAAATTTCTTTTCTCGTGACGCAACGAAAATCAAAAATTGCAATTGTAATTTGTTCTTGAATTTGTAATTTTTGAAACGGAATATTTCCAGTTCGAAAGCAGCAGGTCCTGGTCAAATTCCAACCCACGACCTTTCCAGAGTAAAGGCGCTGGAGAAGCGAAGAAACTTGAATTCACTATGAACGGAGATTATGAGTGATTCTGTTCAGCAAGTTGTTAACTCGAAAGAAAAGTCTATATTCCGATTTGATTAAGTTAGCAATTAGCGGTGTCTGCTATTTTAACTCACCTGTTTTAAATTTTATACAGAGTCAAAGCTCCTCTTCGCAAAAACTAGCAAAAAGAAAAAAGCAGCTATCTATAAGGCAATAAGCACCAGTGATACCATGCCCACCCTGTAATACACTACGCTCTGAAGCTGGCTAGTGTAATTTAACGAATGAAAATTCAAACTTGATCACAGACAACAAAGCTAAAACTATTGAGATAAAAGGACTAGTTTTTCTTCTTATTTTACAAACTTTGTAAAAAATGACTCATCAAAACTATTTGAAAACATTGGCTCGGTAATAAATCAGTTCATTAATGCTCTCCTTTATATCATCAAGGGCTCGGTGAGACAATGTTTTCTTAGGCGTCCGTGAAAACACACTGGGATACCATCGTCTGCAAAGCTCCTTGATCGAACTCACATCGATGATTCTGTAATGAAGAATCTTGGCCAAGTTCGGCATGTGACTTTTCAAAAACACAACATCAGTTCCTACGGAATTTCCTGCGATTGGGCATTTATTTGGGGGACAATATTGGGAAACAAACGAGACTATTTTCTCCTCAGCTTCCTCTAGTTTGATAGTGCTTTCCAGACACTTTTGCGTGAGACCTGATTTTCCGTGTTGATTCACACACCATTCGTTCATGTTATCCAAAATATCTTGTGGCTGGTGTACAATTATTGTCTCCATTTCTTCGAGAACTTCCAGTTCTTAAAAATACAGGTTTGATTAACTCAATAAGGTGTCAATAAATATGTTTAAAACTTAAGTATAAGACAGACGAAAAATGAAAAGGTCAAAACCTAACCATCATTTGTGACAATACATGCTATCTCCATGATTCGATCAGTCTGCGGATCCAGGCCTGTCATCTCCAGATCAACCCACAAAATATTCTCCTGGTGACACTTCGACCTCTTTTGTCGTTTCGGCATTTCTCTCACTGCCAAAATACTCGAGCCACTACTACAACTATTTAGACCCCTTCTAGCGTAATTAGTTGATAAACAAGACAGAGATCTGTACGATGGACTTAATAAGGTAGCTTTTTTAATGTTTCGTCGATAATGAACTAAAACGGATTTGGGGCTAGTTAGGGCAAAAACACAATTTCGTAACATGCTCAGAGGTTCTATGGACCAACATTGGACCTGAAAATGTAGCAAGAAAATATTTTAGCAGCCTGTTTTTTTTTCAAATTGCGAAACATAGAAACAGTGCAGAAGAGTTTTGCGTCCTAGAATGGGTGAAAAATTGTTACATACCAGCATTAAAAATTTACTGTAAATACAGCGACATAATTAATTCATGAATTTTCAGAAAAAAACTTAGGTTGGATCTAGCCATTTCAACCCTTACGAATCTAAATATCACTTGGCATCATCAAACCAGGCGAATGAAGTATTTGTGAAACAGGAGGAAAATCGGAGCAGATGAATAACTTTTTAAACATTTTTTGCTATCACAAAGAATCAAAACTTCACGAGAAGGCGCTATTGATTACTTTCTTTTGAATGAAAGAAAAATTCAAATACAAAAAGCTTCAAAAATTGTAATGAAAAAATATGAAAACTTTTTGAAAAGTATCAAAAAAAAATTCAGCAAAACTTCTTGAAACGCAATCACTTGCACATAAACCAGAACGCAAAAAAAGTTTCATTTTTCAGAAAAAAATGCTTAAATCATAGGCAGATTCGTGTTTGATGTTTTATTGAGTAAAAACGAAAAAAAAAATAAAAGAAATATAAAAGAATATGAAAAGAAGGTGATTGATTATTTAAAAAAATCTAAATTTTGAGGCAGATTTTTGTTGTTTTTATGGTTTTCAATATCTCATAGTTTTCTTATGGAACAAGATCTTTTATGGTTTTCATATTTTTCAAATATGGTTTTCAAAACCACAAACAAAAATACTGTCAATAATGAGCTCATACATGTGTCAATTCGATGAACATCTGTCAAAAAACCCGCTTGCCAGCGTTAAACTAGCTTTAAGGAAAAACATACCGATCGGTAAGTGAGCAGAAAAAGCTTGAATAGCGTCTGTTGAGTCGGGGGAAAATGTCAAAAAACAAATTTCAGCTATAAATACATTTTCAAACATTGAACCCCAAATAACACAGGCAAAGCAGAGCTTCGCGCCAATTGCGATACAACATAAACACAAAAAAAAACAAGTCGAAAAAATAATAAATGGTGAAAAAAACTAGGTGAAGCAAAATTTTTGTATGTCTAGATCAAAAACAATTATGTCTAGATCAAATACTACGACTTTTTTGCTCACAAAACTGGACATAGCAGGTAAACAAGTAGGCTTTCAACAACCTGTTATTAAAACTATGATATCAGATTTGGCAGTGAGAAAAGTCCAAAAAACGGTCAACTAATCAAAAATTTGAGCTTTTTTGTGTGAAAGATAGGGCATCGCCGCTTATACAGAAGGAATTCACTCAACCTGTAAAATCGATTGAACCCAAAATCTCAGATTTGGGAGGGTAGTTCTCGAGAAGCGTCAAAAACTTTTTAATAAAAAAGCGGTCAAAAAATCAAAACTTTGACTTTTCCGAGGGCGATATCTTTTGGTGTCAGCAAACATTTGTGAGCAAAAGAACTCCCCGCAAAAAATGAGCTCGCCACAACCTGCTCTTTGGATTCTCGAGAAACGTTAAAAAAAAAACTTGAAAAAAAAATTGTCAAAAATCAAAACTTTGACTTTTCCGAGGGCCATAACTTTTGGTGTCAGAAAAATTTGGGACCAAATGAGTTTCCCACAAAGCAAATGAGCTCCCCATAACCTAATCATTGAATTGAAACTAAAATCTCAGATATGGCAGGGTAGTTTTCGAGAATTTTCAAAACGTTTGAAAAACGGTCAACATCAAAAATTTGACTACTCCGAGGGACTAACTTTATGGGTTTAAAAATTGGGCCGAAACCGTTCTATTCATTGAAAACGAAAATTCAGATTAAAGAAGGCTTTTTTCGAGAAAGCAAAAAAAAATATGGGTCAAATATTCCCCCAGAGACAAAAAAAAATTCAACCGATTGCTAAACATACAACCAAAATGAGAAGTGCGGAGGGAAAGGTTCAAATTTTGTTTTCCTTGTAACGACCATAAATTAGGTCATTAAGCCAATAAAAAAAAAGCGAAATAATTTGGGCCGATGAACTTTTTTAAGCGAAACAAAAAAAAACAAAAGAAATACGAAGTCAGGGTAAGTAAAATTACACCTTGTACGAAAAAATCAAACACAAAAAGCAACATGAAGAAAAATGCGCGCATCAAAAAAAAACAATTTCAAGGTGTGACAACTAAGCCGATAACAGATAAGCAGACAAATAATTGGCCGACAATTTTATTTGAAACAGAATACTGAAAACTCAGACTACAAATCATAATTACGAAAAACTTTTGAACTGACTGTTGAAAAATTTGGCTATACTTAAAAGCCACATGCCATAATATTAGCTTGAAAGAATTACCAACAAAAAAGCGAAGCTTCGCACTATTTGCAATACATCACAAAAATAAAAAAATAAAACATTCATGAAACACTTGAAAAAAACGTACATTCAGATAAACTAAACCATCAGTCACCAACTGCCAAACCAAAATTCCGATTAAAATCAATACAGTTGACAACCTCAAAAGGAACCACGTCACCACCGAACTTAAACACAGAGGCGAAGCTGAGCTTTGCGCCACTTGCGATACAAATATCAATGTTTTGAAAATCAAACTGAAATATTCAAAAAATCGCTTTGTCAAAAATAATGAAACAAAATATCAGGAACGAAACTGCCTGCACCATTATAAACTCTACAGAGAGCTTTGGAAATGGTATACAGAAAAACTCTAGTTTGCAAAAAAGGTCATAGCCGGATTCGAACCGCAAATCTTTACTATCTCAAGCAATTACTTTATCTAAGCCAGATGCTTAATTGGATTTGAAATTATAATTAGTAAGCGGTAACAAAGCCGAAAAAACATGAGCAGAAACCCTTCATGTCGAAAAGCAATTCAGAAAATACCGACGCAATCAGAGGCTACGAAGTCGATAATAACATAGAGGCGAAGCTGCGCTTTGCAAACAATTATGAGAAGACGTTCAAAAAACAACTCTTTCAAATGAAATAAAAAAGTAGAAATAAGCCTCGAATTAGCAAAAACTCGGCTACATGTAGGACTGGAATCTAGGATGCACTACAGACAGGAGATTTAGACTCTCACGCACTATCCCCACAGCCACTCAAGATTAACAACTGACAAAAACTAGTCACGAATAAAGCAGCTACATATACTAACAAATTGCCAATGCGATTCAGCACCAAATACTGAGGCATCCACACTAACTTTGCATGTAACAAATCTTAAAACATAAAGAAACATTATGTTTAACTTATGCTTTTCGAAAAATTGCGAGATATATTTGGAAAATATCTGAAATCGAATTTTCATTATTGTTATGTTGTTTGTAACAAAGAAGTTTTTTTTCGGTTCATTTGATGAACTAAAAATGTATCAACTGTTTATTTTGTTACTATTCGAATGTCAAAGCACATGCTATCAAAAATGTCTTTGGATTCTCGAGAAACGTTAAAAAAACTTGAAAAAAAATTTGTCAAAAATCAAAACTTTGACTTTTCCGAGGGCCATAACTTTTGGTGTCAGAAAAATTTGGGACCAAATGAGTTTCCCACAAAGCAAATGAGCTCCCCACAACCTAATCATTGAATTGAAACTAAAATCTCAGATATGGCAGGGTAGTTTTCGAGAATATTCAAAACGTTTGAAAAACGGTCAACATCAAAAATTTGACTACTCCGAGGGACTAACTTTATGGGTTTAAAAAATTGGGCCGAAACCGTTCTATTCATTGAAAACGAAAATTCAGATTAAAGAAGGCTTTTTTCGAGAAAGCAAAAAAAAATATGGGTCAAATATTCCCCAAGAGACAAAAAAAATTCAACCGATTGCTAAACATACAACCAAAATGAGAAGTGCGGAGGGAAAGGTTCAAATTTTGTTTTCCTTGTAACGACCATAAATTAGGTCATTAAGCCAATAAAAAATAAGCGAAATAATTTGGGCCGATGAATTTTTTTAAGCGAAACAAAAAAAAAAGAAATAAGAAGTCAGGGTAAGTAAAATTACACCTTGTACGAAAAAATCTAACACAAAAAGCAACATGAAGAAAAATGCGCGCATCAAAAAAAAAACAATTTCAAGGTGTGACAACTAAGCCGATAACAGATAAGCAGACAAATAATTGGCCGACAATTTTATTTGAAACAGAATACTGAAAACTCAGACTACAAATCATAATTACGAAAAACTTTTGAACTTACTGTTGAAAAATTTGGCTATACTTAAAAGCCACATGCCATAATATTAGCTTGAAAGAATTACCAACAAAAAAGCGAAGCTTCGCACTATTTGCAATACATCACAAAAATAAAAAAATAAAACATTCATGAAACACTTGAAAAAAACGTACATTCAGATAAACTAAAACATCAGTCACCAACTGCCAAACCAAAATTCCGATTAAAATCAATACAGTTGACAACCTCAAAAGGAACCACGTCACCACCGAACTTAAACACAGAGGCAAGCTGAGCTTTGCACCACTTGCGATACGAATATTACAAATATCAATGTTTTGAAAATCAAACTGAAATATTCAAAAAATCGCTTTGTCAAAAATAATGCAACAAAATATCAGGAACGAAACTGCCTGCACCATTATAAACTCTACAAAGAGCTTTGGGAATGCTATACAGAAAAACTCTAGCTTGCAAAAAAGGTCATACCCGGATTCGAACCGCAAATCTTTACTATCTCAAGCAATTACTTTATCTAAGCCAGATGCTTGATTGGATTCGAATTTATAATTAGTAAGCGGTAACAAAGCCGAAAAAACATGAGCAGAAACCCTTCATGTCGAAAAGCAATTCAAAAAACAACGACGCAATCAGAGGCTACGAAGTCGATAATAACATAGAGGCGAAGCTGCGCTTTGCAAACAATTATGAGAAGACGTTCAAAAAACAACTATTTCAAATGATATAAAAAAAAGTAGAAATAAGCCTCGAATTAGCAAAAACTCGGCTACGTGTAGGACTGGAATCTACGATGCACTGCAATCAAGAGATTTAGAGTCTCACGCACTATCCCCACAGCCACTCAAGATTAACAACTGACAAAAACTAGTCACGAATAAAGCAGCTACATATACTAACAAATTGCCAATGCGATTCAGCACCAAATACTGAGGCATCCACACTAACTTTGCATGTAACAAATCTTAAAACATAAAGAAACATTATGTTTAACTTATGCTTTTCGAAAAATTGCGAGATATATTTGGAAAATATCTGAAATCGAATTTTCATTATTGTTATGTTGTTTGTAACAAAGAAGTTTTTTTTCGGTTCATTTGATGAATTAAAAATGTATCAACTGTTTATTTTGTTACTATTCGAATGTCAAAGCACATGCTATCAAAAATGTGTAAAGGTGCCCCACCATTATTGGGATGACGCACTATAATTTGCTACTTAGGTTGAAAAAAAAGAAGGTTCCTTCTAATACACTAGCTTCGCAAGTGTAATTAGGCCGGAATTTTTTAAGCCGATAAAAAAGACGAAAGAAGGTGAAATTTTACAAATCGAGCTGTTTACATTACAAAAAATGAGAAAAGCAAATTTAGATTCGACTGGATTTTTAAAATGCTAAAAACAGCTGCAGTTACAATTGTTTACAGCTGGAACAAAAGATTCTTAGATGTGGAAACTATGCCGACAGAACATAAGCAGACAAATATTAGGCCGAAATTTTTTTAACAGCACCAATTACCGTTTGAAAAAAAACTGGTCCTGGTCAGATTCAAACCCAGGACCTTTGCCGTCCAGGCGTATTCTTTACCACCAGGCTAAGCGTGCAAGAGATACTACAAACTTTGAATTATTTATGAACCAAGGTACCACCTTTTCAATGAATGTAATGAGTTCTGTGGACAAAATTGTTTACGGGCAAAAAGTCTACTACCCAATTGCAATACCCGTGCTATCGGAAGGATAAAATAAAATTCAAGGAATGATTATTTAAAAAAAGGAGAGATTTCAGCTGTTTTTTACCTAGAAAAAATTGTAAATTTGCTATTAACTATACTGAATTTGATATTCTCAGAACAGACAAAACTACAGCAATAAATTAGCACCTGAAAAACTGTAGAATGAATTCGGTATTTATATAAGGGCAGACTATTTCCAAAAATAAAGCTACGCAGATTTTTTGATGAAAACTTTTTTAAACATATTTAAACACAGGCAAAGCGGAGCTCAGCACCACTTGCGATACCAAGCATGGAAAAAAATTCAACCAAAGTAAATATATCTACAAAAAATTCAAATATTTTGCCTCCAATGATGTTCAATTTGAGGAGAGCACGTTCAACAACACAACTACCGGCAAAAAAAAAACAATCACAAAAAAAATAATCGAGCAGCGAATAAAGGAAATATTGATGAAAAATTATTAGCTACAAGTGTTGATTCTCTAATTTTTTACGGAAACGTGCAAAAGGATGAAAATATATTTCTGGTTCATAAGACTCAGATATAGGTCCATAAGCCGATAAAACAAACGAGACTATTCAGGCTAAAGACAAGGATTTAAAAAACGCCGAAAACAGCGATAAAAAAAAACAAGAAAGAAACATACAAAATCAATAATATTATCTTGCAACGCAAGAAAGATAAATGATGTGCAGCCTAAGCCGCCAAAAAATGCGAAGACAACTGATAGACCGATGATTTTTTTCGATACTCAGTTGAGTTCAATCCTGCAAACACTCAAAAAGCTCGAAGAATAGGTCAACAAACTGAGAGACAACTCAGCCAATGAGCAAATTAAGCAAAAAGTCAAGAGCATCGAAGAAATTGACGTGAAAGTACATCGGCGTATCGAAGAAAAAAATCAAGCACTGAAGAACAGAAAAAACTGCTTTATTGAAATGTTTTCAAACGTATCAAACTCGAATAAAAAACAAAAGGCACGTGAAACGAACATCGTGATCTCAAGCATCTCAATTAGTGACCAGGTTAATTCCGATGTCCTCGAGATATGCAAGACTCTAGACACAAACTTCAAAGAGGAGCACATCGAATCAAGGAAAGCCTTCCTGGCAGAGAGAACAATAAACTGATTCGCCTCACGTTTAAAGCCACCAAACAAAAATGGGAAATCCTGAAAAAGGCTAGAAAATTGCGAAACACGAACAAATTGGAAAAAAATTTTCATCAAACTCAGACCTTACCAAAAAAACAACGAATACAAATAACCAAGCTTGACTACAAGATAAACCCAAAAGCCTATCGCTCTCCTATGGAATATTGAAGGAAACAGATCAACTACCAAACTCAGACGACAAACAATATGACATTCTTCTGCTAACAGAAACAATGAGCTCCAACGAACTAGAGATTCGTAACTTTATATGAACAAACTCACCTGCAAAGAAATGCAATAAAGGACGCCCCACCGTGGGAATTACTATTGCATCAAACCGAAGTCTAGCGGATTGTGCCTTAAAAACTACAAAAAAGAAAGCAATATAAGCAAATACCTTCACGAATAAATACTTACAGCAATGATAGGATATTCCCCACCAAAGAGTGAAATAGAGGATATCTTACGCGAAATCTCAGCAGCCCTCAAGCACTCAAATAGAGTCAACGAAACACTTTTTGCCGGAGACCTAAGCTTTCGCCTGGATATTGAATCCATCAGAAAACATGTGCTATTGGAGCTAATGAAGCAAAGCAATCTATATTGCCTAAAAAACTCACAAGAATTTACTTACAGCTGCAAGCGAGGCAACAGCACAATTGATCTGTTCTTCAGTAATACCTACAGACCTCAAGATCATAGAAAACTATAATACTATACAAACATACTCAAGTTAACCACAACTGTAACCCATCGAGAAAAGAAGCCTCGCATGCTATGAGATAATGCGACCATGCCGCACCGTATTTTGGAATACAAACAAAAATCAACTCAATAAAAGAAGACAACCACACAGTAGATCAACTTTTTCAGAAAGTAACAGAAATCTTTGAAAAAACAGCAATTCCTCAACAGAAACCATGGTTCGATATAGAAACATACAAAAATCTTGAATCAACGAAAATTGCATACCATTTCGCCTTAAATAACACATGCTTAGAAAACACTACCGCCATCCATTGGTGGAAAATGAAATTCAGGCGAAATTGAAAAAAAAAACTTCAATACGAAACATTAAAAGTGATGGAATTTTTAATTACAGCAGACACTGACCGGAGTCAATTCTCAAAATACTTAAAACAGAAAAAGGAAAACGAAAATTTGTCAGGTAAATACTTTAGAGCTGCAAGAACATTTTGAAAATCTCAAGTCCAGAACAAGTACATTGAACCCTAAATGACCTATTATTTATCGATCACGATTATATTACAACCAAAAACGGAGACTACTTTGTCTACCTAGACACCGCCATAAATGACTATGAATTAGAAGCCTCCCGAATTATCAAAATGAAAAAAGCCACCCGATTAGATGGCCTCTCAGGAAAATGCCTTAAATCTACATTTTACATAATCTTTCCTATGATGCAATTACTATCCAAAACCACCAAATGAAGACAGTTTATTCATAAGAGTGGAAAACAGCTTATATAACTCCGTTGTAAAAACAAAAAGGCGCGAAATCCAATCCAAACAATTACAAAGGAATAGCCATCCTCCCAACAACATCAAAAACCTTCTCCCATGTAATACACCAACGCCTAACCGAATGGTCAGAATCGTTACATACCAAAAACACAACATGGATTCTGAAAAATAAATCCATTCTAGTTTCACAACATGGATACTGGTTTCACGACAGCAAGCAATATACAATCTGGATCTCGAATGTATATATTTTTTTGCGAACAGATTATAACCCAACACAGCCATGTAGAACACTGTCACGAATTACCGAAGGAAAATCTGATCACGAAGATTAAGGTTGTACTCTACGAACTTCACCGCCCGAAAATAGAGCAGAGAGAAAGACAACAAATTCGTTCCGAGTAAAAATTGAACTGCTACGACAGAATTTGACCTATAAACTCCACTCCAAAACTATTCCAAACTTTTCTATGCTATACATTGATGAATATTAATACTAAGAAATTACTTTTCAAGCTGTCTACTTAAGACGTTAATCTTTTCAGTTTCAATGCTGCACGAATGATAACAGCACAAATGATTCAGTGATTCTGTTAAACTATTACTTGTTAATCCAAAAAAATCTGTGTTCCGATCTGTGTTCGCAAGCGAAAAAAACGAAGCTCAATGAAGCTGACAAATTTAACCAAAAAAAAAAAACTGTTTAAAAATATAAACAAAAATTGCACTACCTTTGCTTATCACAAATGTAACCATCATCTGCCTTTAGAATGATCTTAGGCACTTCAAATGTCACGAAAATGTCAGAAAAAACTATTCAATTAACAAATTATAAAACAAAAAGCAATAGTCTTGTTTATCGCAAATATAATCATACTCTACTTATATAATGCTTTCAGGCCCTTCAAGTGCGACTGAACTTTCAGGTATCAAAAGACATCATTCATAGTCATTGCTCAATGCTTTTATGTATCGCTGCTTATTCAAATATGCTTCAATTCACTCTCGCTACTTTAACAGTTGATCTTAAATTTAAAAAAAAAAACGTTTTAATTTATATATTTGATTTAAAGAAAATTATTTAAACATTATGTACCATGGAATAATAAATTCATTTCACAAAAGGGTAATAAACATTCGTGATGTTGCGCATCCATTAGCCCTTTACAAATAAAAACAACTTGACACAGGTGATTTCCAAGACAATCATTACTTACAGCGCTTAATTTATTTGTACAATTTGATTAACATCCACAACCTTCAGATTGATTTACATCGGAATCTTGTTTGGCTTGAATGTGAACTTCCACCAGATCCTCGTGCATGTCTTTAGTAGTTTGTGTTTCCATTCCAGGAAGAGCGGCGGCCACTCGGCGGAACAACTGCTTGACGTTGTAGCCTGCTTTCGCACTGGTCTCAATAAACATCACTCCCATTTCATTTGCCTTCTTTTCTCCTTCTTCGGTTGAAACTTCTCGCTTGTCAGCTAAGTCTGTTTTGTTACCAACTAGCATAATTATTACATCAGTTCCTCTTTCTGCCCGGACATCTTCGATCCATTTGGGTACTTGTTTGAACGAAGCATCATTTGTGATATCATATACTACTATTGCCACTGATGAATCTCTGATGTATGAAGGGATAAGAGAGCGAAACCTTTCTTGACCAGCTGTATCCCAAAGTTGCAAGCGAACAGTTCTGTCTTCCAGGTACATAGTTTTGGACAAAAAATCTATACCAATCGTTGCTTGGTAAGTGTTGTCGAACGTGTCGTACATGAAACGTGTAATTATCGATGTTTTTCCTACACTTTGCTCGCCCAGAAACACTAGCTTGAACTTTCTCAAAGGGTTACCAAAGTCTGCCATGTTTCTTGCTGAAAACGGAGTTCGCTGATAGTAGCTGGTTTGCTTCGAAGAGGAATTAAATCATCCGAAGACCTAAAAACAAGCTCCATATAAAACTGCTCTAATTATTTAACAAATTGTTTGAAGTCAGAACTTACGGAACCATAACCGGTTAAATTACAGAAAGCCACGCTATCAAACGCAACGAAAGAACAGTAGATTCTTTCTCAATATTAAACCAAGAAGGCAATGGACGCTATCAACAAAATTTATACAATAAGATGAATAGCTAAGTTAACAATAAGATGAATAGCAAAGATAAGATTATATACAAGGCAGTACTTAATTTGTCGAACTAAAATACAGGCTGTATTGAAGTGACGAAAACTTTTGGAAGTGATCAGCAATCAGCACTGCAGTTTTTTTTCTTCAATTAAAAAACACTTTATTTGCCAATTGAAAGTATTTTCAAATGTACAAGTGTAAATCAAATTGTGATTGTATTATTGTCAAATACACTCAAAGTTTAAAGTACAAGTTTACGCATTTGATGACAGTATCACTATTTTACAAATTTTTCGTTAAAATGGGCCCTTCCGTCATGCGGCGGTCCTTGCACAGGTTGGATAGGGCCATACCAACGCTATATAAATATAAGAGATTTTTGATTTAGAAAAAGTTTTAAAAGTTTTCGCAACTATGTACATTGTCAAGATTTTTACAATAAACTAATGTAAATGACGATATAAGAATTAATGTTAATTCAAACGTTTTCGCACATTTTGTGCATCATCAGGATTAAAAATTTGTAAATAACGATAAAACATCAATTTACAAATGTTATTTAGAATAATGCACATATGGCTCTAAAACATCATGTTAAAAAAGTAGACGAGTTGACTTCTAAAATTACTATTCAGATTAAAATACTTTTAACCTCCGAAATTAATTAAACAATTTTTAATTAATTTGTCTGGAAGTTTCTGAGTCACAATTACGATTTTAACATGTATGTTTTAAATTAAAAAAACAGAAAAATTTTTCAGTGTGAACTCCTTGCTCCTGAACTCACCACGCGTGTTCAAGCCCGGTTTCTCTTTCCTGATAATATTCCCTCTAGTGTAAACAGTTTTGTTAGGTTGTTTGACCTATTTAAAATATTTCATTTCAGCTATTTCCCTCACGACTGCATTACTGAAGGTGGAGGTGAAATTGTCAAAATGTATGTATCTTAAAGGTTTTTGCACCCCCTGAGGCAGAGGATTAAACTCCTCAGAATTGCAAAATATTTTTTGGCTCTTACGAAGTTCATTGTGTCGGAGTTTGATTCGATCGATCCGTTCTTCGCTTCATTTCTCTGCAAGTTTCTGGACGGTTATTGTGGAGCTTGGTGCTGCTCCTCGAGTACACGCAAAAATTAATGGAACAAAGTTGCTGTGTTCCACATCCAGATTTTTTTGTTGGTAATTTAATGTTTTGAAATTTTCCTTATAATTGTAGGCGTCAGATATAGTTCCAGGGCAGGACTTAGCAGGGGGGTTGGAGTTTCTAACATCGAAAATAGTTCGGATGAATCAAGCTCCCCAGAGTCCTTTTGCCTTGATGTCAAATCGAGCGTCATCTTCAGCAGGGGTAGTTTTGTTGTGAAAGCTTTCACCTTCCAACGATTGAAATTTCCATTGTATCTCAACACCATGGCATTTCGCTCCATAGAGTATCTGCTCCATAGAGTATCCACCTATGGAGCAGTGTAGAGAGTTGGTTAGTGTGAACGGTTGTCCACATGGGCATGTATGTGGGGTGTCCGGTGGTTCCCATCTATATTTTTGATGTAAGCTATCTTTAAACCCTGTTTTGTTAAGGAAAAATTGTATTTTTCAAGGGTAGCACGCCAAGCCAGATCGATGCTTCTTTTTCTGATGCTAGATTGTTTGTAAGTTTTTCTTCTTATGAGCAATTGTCATAATTTCAGCCTTTTAAGAGAGTGTGATGTACTGTTTCTCACTTTTTATTTTTTAATCTATCAGAGTTTGTTCCGTTTCAGCTAATTCTGGATCACTGTTTACTAGTGGATCATATATGGCCCGTGAACAATCATATTTGCAGGATAAGTCCACGTAACTGAGGAGGTCTAATGATAGAGCAAAAATTCTGCGATCTTCATCGGTTATTCTGTTTTTAACAGTGACACTAGGAAGTAGCTGATGTCTTACTTTTTTCTCAGTTTTGTCCATTTTCTTTAAAACTTCCGATATTTTTCTGGTTGGGAAGTTTAATTTATTTTAACTCCTTTTGTGTAGCAGGAGTACGCATGTTGTGGTGATGTTGTAGCTTTTTTGGAAAGCCTTTTTGTTAGCGTAGTTGTTTTTTCAATTTCTTTTTCCATGTATTGACTGTAAAGCCATCTACCATTGTAATGGTAGGATTCTAAAGCCATGTGCCATTGTAATGTTTGTGCCTTCGAAAACCTCTATGAAGCATTCCTGGTGGTTTTCCTTTTTTCTGATTTGACACTTGGAAGGCTTGTAGCCGAAAACCTTACCACGCACATCAAGTTTTTCGAGTTCTGCAAGAATAATCTCAAGATCACCTGCAGCGCTTCCGACATCTGCGAACCATTTTTGGGCGAAATTTGGTTTTTGTAGGAGCTCGATCAGTTGGTTTATCCCTATTCCGTGAAAAGCCGTTTTGAGGGTATCACCTTGCATTGTGCCTTCGGTAGTTGTAAAAACCGTGTTGTTGACATACAAATTTGAGGGATGTTCATATGATTTGACCAGCGCATGTTGTAGTGTCGGGCAAAGGACTTCTATAATTTTAAGAGCAAGTTTTCTTTTGAGCAAGCTGAAAGAATTTCTGCATCAATAAGTAGAATGGGCTCCGTTTCGCTTTCATTAAACTCCTTCCTCAAGCTGCGGATAGCATATTCGATTCCGCTCTTCTGGCCTAAGCAGAGATGGAAATTTGTTCCGAGGTTTTTGATGTCTTTTTTTAATACAATGGGTGATTATTTTGCCAATTATTCGTCTCAGAGCCTCGTCTTTACAACCAGGCCTTACCCCCGAAATTTTTTCCAGAGGTATCAGATGACACAAGTTGTACGCTATTAGGTTTTCAGGGGGGAGAATTTTACTTTCTATCATATAGGATGGCTTTGCAATTGTTTTGCAAATCTCAAAGGAGGTCCTGTTGAAGTAAATAAGCATTTATCTCCTTTCGTCCGCATCTAGGCCTTAGGGATCGTCGCTTCTGTTTGACTTAAGGGTTGACTTTTGAACTGTCTTGGCGTTGATTTGTTCGAATATAGAGGGTAAGTATGGTCCAGTCTCTTTTCTTACTTCAGTTATTTAGATAGTGTTCGCTGCTTTGGCTTGGGTGTGCTTTCCTTTCAGGATACTATGAACTGTTTTTCCTTCAATAACTTCGTTTAGGGGAAGTACTCTTTTTCTTTTCTTGACTGAAAGGAATCTAATGGCGGCAGATATTTTGCTTGTACTCATCAATTTGTCAAAATGCTTAATTTCTTCGTTTTCTAGGCAGGTTTTATCTTTTGATGTAAAACTGGACAATAGTCCATTCAAAGATAAAGCTCGGTAAATTTTTTTTAATGAGCAAAAAGCGACAATAAGAAGTTAAGAAAGTTCTGGCACTAGAACCCAAATTTAGTACAAATTTGACGCAGCTTCAAAATCCCCTATCTGCATTTTTTTTCATCCAAAGTCAATGTAAGCATCCTCTATGATCAGCAGAACGTTTTTAAAGTCGGACCTCCGAATTTCAATTTCTAGCACTTTGTTGAGCTTTGGTCGGTTATGATTTCGCATCGTAGGTCAAAAAATTGCAACTCAACATAATCGTTCAGCAGGAAAATCGAGTTTTTATTTTTTTCTCTTTATAACAAAAAATTAAGCACGTGGCCCCATCTGAACTCAAAAATATCACTGCAGCCCCAAATTTTTGAAAACAGCAAAATCAGACTTTTTGTAACAAAAAACAAAAGGAAGTATAGATTATTCATCGCGCTTTATTGATGAACATTGTCAATCTTTCAATTTTTTATCTTAGGAAAAAAGTCCCTTATGCCTATTTGAATTCAAAACCTAGGGTTCAAGGCAGCAAAAAAAACTATTTTCGTAGAAGACTCGTTTGTTTTTGTAGCAAAATTTCGATTGACACCAAATACATGTAAGCGGTTGATTCCAATTATTGAATGCTATTTCATGTTACTCAACGTTTTTATCACTCATTTTGGTCTGAAACATTTTTATTGACTATTGTTTACTAATTGTAGAGTTCTCAAATCAATCATAAATTTTTCAAGAAAGTTTTTCAGAGGAAAAAAATTGGCTCTCGACCAAAAATTATTGTTTGCATATGGGGAAAGATAAAATTAAAAAACTCCGCTTTTCCTACTTAGGCTAACACCGAGCTTTCAGGATATAATGAAGACCTTTCAAACCGAAAATCATCTCCTGAAAACAAAAAAAATTTGTTTTCTACAAACAGATCACAATTTATAAAACTCAGTACTTCTGCTAGTTTTTCCCACTGTTTCATATGTTCTAGTTTTTCGATTTTTTTTAAATTAACTTTTCTTGGAATGTGTCAGACTTTTTTGGAGGTTGCTCAGCGTGCATGCAATCGTCTTGCGTATTGTGAAGATTATTTCGACATCAAGAGTAAACAGGAATAAAGTGCTTTTTCTCGGTATGAACATTCAGTTCCTCGCTGCTATATGTAGAAAAACTGCAATTCGAACAATTTAAAACACCACAGCGATTTCTTGATGCTTGTGAGCGAGTGAAATCTCTACCACATACAAGGCATACTACTTTTTCATTTCTACTCAACGGCGGCATCTCAATAAGTAAAGAAAAAAGTTGAAACAATTTGTCCCAAAAAACAGATGTCCCAGAAAACATCCCAAAAAGTGAAAGCAATTAAAAACAATTGTTATGTCTTAACCGATTAGTTCTAATTTAAAGGAAAATCAGAATGAAATAAATCCCTTTGATTTTGCTAAAAAATTGACTCGATCGGAACCAAGTCTTACGTATCATACAACTTTCAAAAGTTCTGATATCAACCGATCAGTTCTGAGCCCTAACTATTATGGAACTTTAATTTC